GATTTTACACTTAGAGAGATTTTACACTTAGAGAGATTTTACACTTAGAGAGATTTTACACTTAGAGAGATTTTACAATTAGAGAGATTTTACACTTATAGATTTTACACTTAGAGGGATTTTACAGTTAGAGATATTGCATTCAGGGACTATACGCATAATATTAGTTGTGCCTAGAGATGTGCGAATGCAAGTTTTTTTGGCATTGCATCACATAATGCAACACTATGCTGAATGATGCATTATGCAATTCTGTATAATATAAACCATTAGATTTATATTATGAAACAAACTTGGTAGATTAATTTTTTATTGATTTCACTTTGATATTGTATGTGCATTTTTAAATTTTAGGCAACTTGCATCGCATTATGCAGCATGCAACATCGGTTGCATAATGCATACGGTGACTGTAACAAATAAAATTGGAAAAATAATTTATTAATAATGTAATAATAAAGACATTATTGGTTTATTGCGTAGAATTTCTGAATTATATATTGTCAGACTCTAATACTGTTAAACCTCTCCGAATAAATCAATAGGAGCCAAACTTTTAACAACGTATATGTAATTGGAAATTCTCGTTTATTCACATTTCACATAAACATGCATTCAATTTGTCTCGTTTGCATAACCATATGGAATAATCATATGATTTTTCTTTGAATAAAATGGGCAATGTGCTATAGGATGTTATGATCTCTTAAATTGAATGTAACGATAATAATGTAATAGCGTAGCGATGGACCCTTAGTTCTATGCAAAGTGATATAAATGGGGCTTTTGCCTTGAAAATGATCCTACGGCATTAGAATTTTTTTTTGAGTAAACAGTAAATAAAGATTATGTAACCCAAACAACTTCTTTTTAATAATTGATAATCATTTTTTTATTTTTTTATTTTTTGGCCAATTTTAGATATGAGCTTAAAATTTTTATTATTGGATAAAAATTAAATTGTGTAACGATGCCTATTTAAATTGATGGTATCCGCTATGGTCGATCATTTCCATTATATTTTTTAGATATTCAAAAAATTTTTCACTCATTTTAATATTAAGGTAAATGGTTATAAATTTTGCACAAAATGAACTTTGTGTTTCATAAATAAGATTTAGCAAAAATCTCAATTTTGGCTTTGGGACCTCGGAACCCTATTTTCAAGACAAAGACCCCAAATGTTATCCAAATTTGTAATTTGTGTAATGAGATGGTATCAAATGAGTGCCGTCAAAGGAAAACCTACAATCTGGCTTTCAAGTATATTTTATTTACAGTTGGCTATCTATCTCCCGTCTATGGTAAATCTATGTCCGATGATAGATTTACCATAGACGGCGAACAGATAATCAACTGTACACAAAATATACTTGAAAGCCAGATTGTAGGTTTTCCTTTGACGGCACTCATATGATAATTCTATGCATTTTCAATTGTTAAATCAGATTCTTATTTAGGTAATAAACCAGGAAAATCAAGGGTCTAGAGCGTGTCATATGATGATCATCTTATCACACATCACAAATTTGGATTTAATTTACCGTGGCCAAATTACATTTCTGATGTGATCTTTATATTTTTTATATCGATGCATCAAAAAAGTAACTGTAATTCATCAAAAATGTAACTTTTATCTCACTTTGCATAGACATATAATTAAATAAAAAACGTCAAGATTATACATACGTATTAAGCTGAATACAATATTGTAATTTTTTAAAAAAAAATTAAGATCGAATTTATCAAATTAAAACTATGAAGAAAAATTCTAAAGAACTTGCTTCATGTTATAAAAAACTTCTACAAAATGGTCATAATTCTGATGTGATTATTCGCTTTGACCAAGGAGACGATTTAAAAGAGCTTTATGCACACTCACTTATTTTAAGAGCGCGCTCTAACTTTTTTGATAGTGCTCTTTTCAGTAGGTGGGCTAGGAAAGAAGGAAAAATTTTCATTATTGAAATGAAAGATGTATCAATAAATATATTTAAAGCTGTTTTAAGGTATGTATCTATATGCATTAAATTTATTTTCCAATTTATTTAAAGCATTGTCAAATAATTATTAATTTACTGATTTATTTTTAAAAGGTACATATATACCACTGAGATTTCTTTGGATGAATTAAGTGGTGTTGAGATTTTGGAAATTTTAGTGGAAACTGACAGATTACAACTTCTTATTGAAGGATTTAATAGAAAATTAATTTCTTATGTACGCGAAAACTTGGAAGAAATAATACGAAATGATGCAATTAAAACATTACAAATAATTTTTCAATTTAATAATATATTCGAGACATTGCACGGATCATGCCTTCAACTTATATGTGCTTATCCAAATATGGTATTTGAACATCCCAGATTTTCACAGCTAGATTCATCTATTCTAACTCTCATATTAAACCGGGATGATCTAGGAAAATTAAGTGAATCTAAAATTTTAAGTTATTTGATTCAATGGGGAATTGCTCAAATTCCTACTACTACTCAAGAAAAAACCATAGATACCTGGGGAAAAGATGACTATATTAAATTAAAAAGTGCAATTAAAGAATTTATTCCTTTAATTCGATGGTACCAGATTTCAAATAAAGAATTTAAACCAAATAGACAACTCCTTCAAAATAT